CGCTTTGAGAACTGTCAAAAGTTATTAGGAATATACTAAAATGTATGAAGGCTGGACAAATGGCAGCTTTGCTTCACCTGCTTTAAGCGCCTCAAAGTTTCAAATAGGCAAATGTTTTATTTGAAAGCGTTTCGTAGGCTTTTGACAAAAAGGTATGTTCCCGTCCTAATTAAATCGAACAAACTGCTGCACACTTTTATGTACAAAACTTTTCTTACGTAATTAAAAAAAATATATATAATATAAGTTATTCAAAGTTTAATAAAAATGATTATATGTTTCCATATTTATATTTAACTTATCGCTGGCTGAAAAGTTGCTAAGTCCATTTTTTACAAATTTTACAGGAACTTTGAATACAACATTTTGCGTGTTTAAAGCAAAGCAAAACTCCATACGAATCAAAAGGATTCGATCTTTATTAAAAGATTTCGTACTATTTTGGCCTTATCGGATTTTCGGGGCCTCTTCTGGACTTAGAAAATTTGCCTTTCATTGAATATAAATGAGAAAAAATAAAACAAGTACATTAATCCTTAATTTCGCTTGCTAGCTAGCGATATTTATGATGTCAAACTACTGGTCAGTCGTCTTTTGAAGAATTGGATTTCTTTTTTTTGTTTTTAATAAATGTACCTATAGTTATATATGTATAATTATTATCATTCCTTTGAAATGCATTAAAATCCTCATCAATCTAAAAATAAATCTGAAAAGAGTGTTTGTATTTTTTTTTAGTTTTCTGGAATCTTATGGGAAAATTATTTTTAGTGTAAGGGAACAGACCTTAATTTTTTAACTACATAGCTGGTAGCTTTGACAGCGTTCCAAGCCGTCATTTGGCCAGACGAGTTTTTGAAGTAAATCAAAGCAAATTAAAGTAAGTAAGGCGTGCAAAGCAAGGCTTGCTTTGCTTGCTTCGCTGCGAGAAGTGTCAAAAATTATTTGGAATATGGGTGTTTCCATGAAAATGTCAACCAGGACTGAAAAAATAAAAACAACTGAAAAGGGTTTTTAAGACGAATTAATAAGAGTAAAATACTCGAATTTTTATATTATAGAAGTATTTCAGCTTATTGCAATTTTAAAACCCAAAAATTGAAGAGTAAAACTGAGTGTCTCTTCGACTCAGTTTTCTCTAATGAAATAAACTATTTTCTCTTTCCTATTAACTAAATTAAGAGATTTGAAACATTACAATTACATCTTGAAATCAAATTTGCAATAACAACTAACTATAAAAATGAGAAAAAGGAGAAGTTAGAGCTCGGTTAACGGTAATTTTTTGATTTGCTTCTGATAGTTTTCTAATGTCGCGTACGTTATGCAAAAACATTGTTTGTCTATGTCATTTGTATATTGGCAGCCGCAGGTAATGCAGACTACAATTCTTAAGCCAGAATTCTTCTAGTTAAAGATATACAGTAAAATTTTCTTTCCAACCGATGTAAAACAAATTTTATTACCCTTTAAAGTTTGTCGCATACGTTATTGTAAGTACGAAAATTTCAATCAAATACATCAAAACCACTGTTAATTGCAAATTTTCCATTTAAATTATTTAGAATAGTTGTAAAACAATGAAACGGTGGCGGGAAGAGTTTTCAATAAATACATTTTATAACTTACGATAGGGATGCACAGCAGAGGTGCGCGCAGTCGACGTCGCGGGCATACTGCGCGCACGCGAGCGTGCTAGGCGAGGGGAAGTGAGCTGTACGAAGATGGCATCGTATACATATTAACCACTACACACTTATTTTCAAGTAAAAATGCGTGTATGTGTGTGTACTTTTGCGACAACTGAGCCAGTGTGGCATCAGGCCACCAGAAAAAGCCAATTTTTCCAAACCAAAAGCGCCAAGTTTTTATTATCATGTTTAATAATTTTTTTGATTCAGTAAAAAGTGTATATACATATCCATTTCCTCACGTTTTTAATAATAAATTAATTTCAATACATTTATAACAACGCAAAACATATTTAATTTACCTATTCTTCACATTTTATTCAGTAAATGAATTCCATCTTAATGTAGAATATTAGTGTATAGTGTATACATACATACATATGTACCTATACATTCGGTGTGCTTAAATTAAAAAAGCATCACTAAATACCGCACCAAGCATTGAATTCCAATTATTTTGGCTTTTTGGTTTCCCAAAAGCACTAAATTTAGTGCAAAATGCACGACCTTGGCAACCGTGAGTTCAGCACATCAATGCTCAAACAGTGATACCAGACTTAGTGTCGACAAAATGAATAATAACAAACCGTTTTAAACGCCTTTAAGGCAGAACTTCAAACTTTATTTTAATTTAATTGACACTTTAGCGCATGCTAGTGCGCGTTACAAATTTGGTGCTTACTCTACGACGTGGAAAAGATGCTCGCATTCAGTGCAGAGTTGCCATGTCGTTGTATCGTGGCGAAGAGTTGCCATGTATTGTATGATTGTATTGTCTTGCTGACATCCCGCACCCCGGTGAATCCTTGGGATTCACAACTCAAGAGCGGCTAGCTTCGATTACGGACGTCGTATAATGCCATGTGTTGTGCGTACCCTCGCGCTTCGCACCTGTCCATCTTTAGCGGAAGAGACATCAACTATACGGCCAGTTTTCCATTGACTTCGTGGAAGACTCGGGTCGCACACAATTACAAACTGGCCCGGCTTTAACGGTTGAACCTCTGTTCGCCATTTCGGACGCCTCAGTAGTTGCGGCAAATACTCCTTGACCCACCGTTTCCAAAAACGGTCTTTTAAGTTCTGCGCTATTTTCCATTGCTTGCGCAAACAGACTCTCTCTTCATAATCAGACGGCGTTTGAGTTGAATTCATGCACCCTAGTAAAAAATGATTGGGTGTCAATGGTTCCGGACTATCAGGTGAAAGTGGTATGTCGCTCAATGGTCGGCTGTTAATGATACTCTCGGCCTCTATTAACACACTTCGAAACGTCTCCAAGCGAGGCGCTTCCTCTTTTAAAACTCGCTGCAATATTCTTTTAACGCACTGAACGAGTCGCTCCCAACATCCTCCGGCAGATGGATTAGCCGGGCAATTAAAGATCCACTCAATTCCTTCTTTAGCTGTTTCTCGTTGAATTACGTCCAAATCAAAAACTCTCTCTTCTCTCTTCAATTCGCTCTGGGCGCCGATGAAATTCGTGCCATTATCACTCCTTATCCGCACTGGTACTCCCCGCCGGTTAACGAAATTCCTTAAGCAAAGTATAAACGCATCTGTAGACAGGTCCACAGCCACTTCCAGATGCACGGCTCTTGTTGTTAAACAAGTGAATAATGCTATCCAACGTTTCTCGCGACGTCGACCCACAGCAACGAGGAATGGCCCGCAGTAATCCACACCGGTATATGAAAATGGACGAACATATGGTGTCAAACGATCTGGTGGTAGCTGACCTATTAATGGTACTGCTGGCTTAGCCCTTTGCCGGATACACACTGGACATTTTCTTTGGACCTCTTTCAACAACAAATTCGACCGCGGTATCCAGTACCGCTGACGCACCTCATTTATTATTAATTTTTTGTTCTGATGATAATTCTTTTTTTGATAATAGTCCATCACTAATACTGAAAGCTGATGGTGACGAGGAAGAATGATTGGACAACGAGCTGACTCGGGAAGGCAGTAGGCGGCATCGATTCGACCATTAACACGCAACACTCCACTCGCATCTAACTTTGGTGTTAGCTGATACAGTTGACTAGATTTGGCAAGGCAATGATTTCTTCTTCAAAGAACTGGAGCTGAGCCCGACGACAGATAAAATGTTCAGCGATTGATAACTCTTTCGGCTGCAACTCTCCAAGCAGACGTGACCTTACTTTTAAGTTATTTACAAAGCGTAAAACCCAAGCCACAACTCGCTGTAACTTTATAAAAGAGGAATATTTTGTGACATATATTATGTCGCTATTGTGGATTATAAGTACAATCTTGTTATTATGCTCTTCAGACGCGCAGGGATTGGAATACAAGTTTGCTGGCTCCATGGGCCATGTGTTATCGTTGTCATACAGAAAATCTGGGCCTTGTATCCAACGCGAATCAGTTTGACATTTTGGAGAAGCTTTAAACTTCGTGGCTTCATCTGCCACGTTAAGCGCCGATGGAATCCACCGCCATTGACTTGATGAGGTTACTGATAGGACCTCCGAAATTCGACTAGCGACGAACTGCTTAAAATCACGTTTCGTAGACCGAATCCACAGAAGAACCGTTTTTGAGTCACTCCAAAACGTGACGTCGTTTACAGTTCGATCAAGACATTCTTCTACTAATGTTTTAAGTCGGCTTCCCAAGACGGCGGCTTGAAGCTCCAAGCGCGGAACGGTTGTTTCTCTCTTTGGAGCGCACCTAGTTTTCACTGCTATAAAGGCGACGTTTACCTCTTGTGCTTTTTTCAAGCGCAGATATACCACTGCGGCATAGGCAGTATCACTTGCGTCAACGAAGACATGCAATTCCAAGTTTTCTGCAGTTGTGTAAATTGGCGAAATGCATCTTGGTACTGCGAAGTGTTTGATGTCCTGGAATGCTTTCCACCACATTATCCACCGCGACTCTAGTTCACAAGGCAATGGATCATCCCAATCGATCGGTTGTTTCCACGTGGCTTGAAGTATCAATTTGGCCGTTATGGTGACGTTAGCTTATAGACCAAATGGGTCGTAAATGGCCATGACTAACCCCAAAAGTTCTCTCTTTGTTGGTGGTCGTTTACAATCGATGACTTCTCGAGGTATCTAGGGATGCAAATTTTGAGCAGTAACATCGATAGATCGATGTTACGATGCATCGGAGAAAAGAACATCGAGGCTAAAATATATCGCCAGAGAAACATCGATATATCGANATGTATTGTCAATTTCGCGATGTTAGTGTATTGTAAACATCGATGGCAAACATCGAAAATTGAACCGATATTATCGATGTTTCAAAAACATCGATGCATCGTTTGCATCCCTAGAGGTATCTTGTGGAATCTAAACTGAAATTCCAACACGTCCAATACATGCCCAAAATTTTATCGGTTTTGGGTTGACGTGCCCTATTTATAATGTCTAACGATGCGGCGACACTGTTATTTAGCTGGTGTTGTAACCTCTTACAATTTGAGACAAAGTTCCTTACACGGAATCCAGAGGCGGCGTTTATAGCTATAGCTTCCTTAACTACTTCACTAGCTTCGATAACGTTATCGAAACTGATTACGAGATCGTCTACGTAAGTATTCTCGATAACAGCTTTGGCACCCCTTGGCATAACTTCATTGAACTGAGCGGCGTTAAAATTCTTAATGTACTCTGCGGCACATGGCGAACATGCGGCACCAAATATCATTGATGTCATCGCATATGTCTCAATGTCATTTGACTGATTCCCATCCCTCCATAGGAATCGTTGCGCATGAACGTCAGCAAGTCTTATCTTAACCTGTGAGAAGATTTCCTCTATGTCACCCGCAACCGCAATTATACGTTGACGAAACTTATACATTATGACCATTAACGGTTGCGCCCGTTCCGGTCCTTTTAGAAAAACAGAATTTAAAGAAATATTAGCAACGGCGGCGGCTGCATCGAATACGATACGTAACTTATGTGGTTTATGCGGGTTTACTACCCCAAAATGTGGCAGATACCAAATAGTTGGCCCTTGCTCTCGAGCTTCGGCAGTGGACAATAATTTGGCATACCCTTTGTCTACGTATTTATTTATCTCAGCTTTATAGCATTTGGCATACGCTTCATCTATTAACATTTTGTTTTCGATGTGAATTAGTCTACGTTTGGCCATTTCGTAGCTCTGCGGTAATCTGATGTGATCGTCACGCCACAACAATCCAACTTCATACCGGTTTCCTATATTTTTTGTTGTTACCCGCAGAAATTCACTGGCACGAATGTCTTCAGTCGATTCCAAAGGAGTATCTGTTGGCTTTACTCCGAAAATTTCTACACTAAAGTACTCGTCTACTAATTGATGTAATTTATTTGTAGTGAACGATTTCCGGACGTGGAAAATTTGCGCTGTAGGATTGACCTTAGATAGAGCTGATACATAAACTACCCAACCCAACGAAGTTTCAGTGGCAATAGGTTCGTTGTTGCCAGCGCTTACTGTTTGCTTGGCGATACTTAAATGACTATTATCTAACCCAATAAGCAACGAGGGCTTAGCAGCAACATAGCTTGCTATCGGCAAGTTATCAAAATGTCTGAACTGACTTCGATTGAATGTTTGTATTGGCAAATCTAAACTCTTTACCGTGTGTACATTCTTTAATTGCGACGGCATGGTATTATGTTCCGTTTTAATGTCCAAGTTAACTACTCGAGACCTTTCAGTAATTTGATTTTCGTTATACCATTGTAAAGTGATTGGTACAACGCGACCTTTAACCCCAAGCTCATTGGCGATACCTTCCTCAAGCAAGGTTATAGATGACCCTTCATCAACCATCGCGTAGACTGTAATACATTTACGAGGTCCGACTAGACTAACTGGCAAGATTTTGAATAAACAGGTGCTCTGGTTATCAACGCGACAATTCAATAAATGTTCACTATTGGCCTGTATAGGTGACATCACAGCAGGTTGTACTGAGGCAGACGTCTCACCTTTTAAATTAACTGCCTGATGCAACAACAGATTGTGATTGCGGTTACAATCATCAAGCCCCCATTCCTTTTTTGACCTGCATTCCAGTAGACTATGTCCTCGTTGAAGGCAACCAAAACATAGGCGGTTGGCCTTTACCAACTTCCATCTATTGTTAACACTGAGTGCTTTAAACTCTTTGCAGACGTTTAACTTATGATTCTGCTGACATTTAACGCAGGACATTTGCTTTTCCGGCATTTGCGTTTGTTGGTTTGCCTCGGTCCCACTGCTGTAAAGCACTCGACGTGGCACATTTGCATTCGACGAACGATTCGGTGTTAGAGTATATGATCGCATGGCTGACGATGACTGTGGAACGTTTCGCTGCGATGAAGAAAACATTGATGGCATAAGAGTAACAACCCTGGCAAGGTCGGTAATCCAATTAGCGAAATCTTCCATAGTCGGATACGGTGACGTTGTTGCTGAATGCCGACTCCACTCAAACTGCTTTGAGGGTGGAAGCTTAAGAATAAGTTGCTCTAATAACATTGGATTCAACAAATGTTGTTCACAGTTTGCTGACCTCAAGAACGCGACGACGTTTCGATCTTGATTTGACAATTCAACAACTTTTTCAAGTTGGGTTTAACTAATAGCTAGAAACTGTTGAATTTTTTGCATTTGAGCTCTTCCAACACAAGAGGCACATTGTCGGGAATAATTAACAATGAAGAAACTACTCGCTTAGCATGACCATGTAATCCTTTATGAAGTCGCATTAAATTCTGCCTATTATTGTATCCAAATTCGGTAGTGGTATCTCTGTAGCTAGCTCTAAACAAAGGCCAATCCTCTGGGTTGCCTTGCTGACATCCCGCACCCCGGTGAATCCTTGGGATTCACAACTCAAGAGCGGCTAGCTTCGATGACGGACGTCGTATAATGCCATGTGTTGTGCGTACCCTCGCGCTTCGCACCTGTCCATCTTTAGCGGAAGAGACATCAACTATACGGCCAGTTTGCCATTGACTTCGTGGAAGACTCGGGTCGCACACAATTACAAACTTGCCCGGCTTTAACGGTTGAACCTCTGTTCGCCATTTCGGACGCCTCAGTAGTTGCGGCAAATACTCCTTGACCCACCGTTTCCAAAAACGGTCTTTTAAGTTCTGCGCTATTTTCCATTGCTTGCGCAAACAGACTCTCTCTTCATAATCAGACGGCGTTTGAGTTGAATTCATGCACCCTAGTAAAAAATGATTGGATGTCAATGGTTCCGGACTATCAGGTGAAAGTGGTATGTCGGTCAATGGTCGGCTGTTAATGATACTCTCGGCCTCTATTAACACACTTCGAAACGTCTCCAAGCGAGGCGCTTCCTCTTTTAAAACTCGCTGCAATATTCTTTTAACGCACTGAACGAGTCGCTCCCAACATCCTCCGGCAGATGGATTAGCCGGGCAATTAAAGATCCACTCAATTCCTTCTTTAGCTGTTTCTCGTTGAATTACGTCCAAATCAAAAACTCTCTCTTCTCTCTTCAATTCGCTCTGGGCGCCGATGAAATTCGTGCCATTATCACTCCTTATCCGCACTGGTACTCCCCGCCGGTTAACGAAATTCCTTAAGCAAAGTATAAACGCATCTGTAGACAGGTCCACAGCCACTTCCAGATGCACGGCTCTTGTTGTTAAACAAGTGAATAATGCTATCCACCGTTTCTCGCGACGTCGACCCACAGCAACGAGGAATGGCCCGCAGTATATGAAAATGGACGAACATATGGTGTCAAACGATCTGGTGGTAGCTGACCCATTAATGGTACTGCTGGCTTAGCCCTTTGCCGGATACACACTGGACATTTTCTTTGGACCTCTTTCAACAACGAATTCGAACGCGGTATCCAGTACCGCTGACGCACCTCATTTATTATTAATTTATTGTTCTGATGATGATTCTTTTTGTGATAATAGTCCATCACTAATACTTAAAGCTGATGGTGACGAGGAAGAATGATTGGACAACGAGCTGACTCGGGAAGGAAGTAGGCGGCATCGATTCGACCATTAACACGCAACACTCCACTCGCATCTAACTTTGGTGTTAGCTGATACAGTTGACTAGATTTGGCAAGGCAATGATTTCTTCTTCAAAGAACTGGAGCTGAGCCCGACGACAGATAAAATGTTCAGCGATTGATAACTCTTTCGGCTGCAACTCTCCAAGCAGACGTGACCTTACTTTTAAGTTATTTACAAAGCGTAAAACCCAAGCCACAACTCGCTGTAACTTTATAAAAGAGGAATATTTTGTGACATCTATTATGCCCCTATTGTGGATTATAAGTACAATCTTCTTATTATGCTCTTCAGACGCGCAGGGATTGGAATACAAGTTGCTGGCTCCATGGGCCATGTGTTATCGTTGTCATAAAGAAAATCTGGGCCTTGTATCCAACGCGAATCAGTTTGACATTTTGGAGAAGCTTTAAACTTTGTGGCTTCATCTGCCACGTTAAGCGCCGATGGAATCCACCGCCATTGACTTGATGAGGTTACTGATAGAACTTCCGAAATTCGACTAGCGACGAACTGCTTAAAATCACGTTTCGTAGATAAAATCCACAGAAGAACCGTTTTTGAGTCAATCCAAAACGTGGCGTCGTTTACATTTCGATCGAGACATTCTTCTACTAATGTTTTAAGTCGGCTTCCCAAGACAGCGGCTTGAAGCTCCAAGCTCGGAACGGTTGTTTCTTCTCTCTTTGGAGCGCACCTAGTTTTCGCTGCTATAAAGGCGACGTTT